TCCTCTCCGTTTCTCTCTGCCGCGCTCTCGTCTCTTCTTCTGTGTTTCTCTCCCTGTATCGCTCACTCGTCTCTTTCGCCCCCTGTCGGCGGCGGTTAAAATAGAATCGCCCCGTCAAAATTGAAATCCCCTATTAATGTATTGATTATAGGTCCGGGTCCGTATAGGTCGGCGTCTGGGTCCGGATCCGGACCACGGTCCGCCTGTTGCCGACCCCTGGTATAGATGGTGAAAGTTCGACCATACAAGTACTTGTGGAATTTCTTGCTTCCAAATATAACTGCTAAGCCTTCTTTGTCTAGCTGTGAGTAATTATTTTCAGCAGGCGCTATGGTACGCGACATGAACCCCAAAGGACGTTCAGTTCCATCGTCCATTACGTGTGATAAAACAGCGCCCACCCCGTAAGGTGACGCATCACATGACATAATTAACTCTCGGTCAGCAGAGTAATGCACCAACACTTCTGCTGAGTTTAACAGGGCCTTCTTCCTGTTTCTTTTGCCATGTCCATCGCACATCTTGTCTCAGGAGCTCATGCAGTGGTGCCAATAGTGTAGCTAAGTTTGGCAGAAATTTGTTATAGTAATTTAGCAAACCTAAGTACGACTTGAGTTCAGTAACATTTGTGGGGTTGGGAGCCTCCCTGATGGCTTTGACTTGTCCCTGTGCGTCCACTCGATGTCCCAGATATTCCACTTCCTCTTCCAGGAAAGTGCACTTGCTCCTTCTCAGACGCAATCCTGCCTCCTCCAGCTTTGCCAACACTGTCTCGAGGTTCTGCAGATGGTCTTCCTCATCCACACCGCTCACCAGGAAGTCATCTAAATACACTGCCACGAAAGGAATGCCTCGCAGGGCACCTTCCATTGTCCTCTGAAATATAGCTGGGGCTGATGCTACTCCAAAAGGCAGTCTGTTGTATGTGAATAAGCCTCTGTGCGTATTCACTGTTAAGTATTTATTTGATTCATCATCCATGAGTATTTGCTGGTATGCATGACTGTTTTCCTCCTGTCAGTGCTGCAAACAGATCTTCCATTCGGGGTATGGGGTATTGTTCAAGTGAGGAAACTGTATTTACAGTGAGCTTGTAGTCTCCACATAGCCTTACTGTCCCAACAGGCTTCAGTATTGGAACCACTGGTGCTGCCCATTCTGCATGTTTAACAGGGGAGATTACTCCTTCTTTCAACAATCTGTCTCTTTGAAGGCATCAGCCTTTACATGGATGGTAGCTTTCATACCTTTCAGTATGCCAAGCTCCTCTTGTTTGCTCAGTACTTGCTGCAGCGATGTGTCCTCTGTCTTCAGGTGTTTCAGGACTGGGGATTTGTGTCTGAGCTTGATTTCTTTCCAACTCAGATGTATTTCCTCCAGCCAGCCTCTTCCCAGCAGGCTGGGGCCGTCCCCTTTAACCACAACGAGGGGCAGGTACCGCCTTTGATGTTTGTATTTCACTCTAACAATGGCAGCTCCGACCACATTAACAGGGTCACCTGTATAAGACTCCATGTGGATTTTGGTTGGTCTCAAACATGGACGTTTTGTGTCTTTCCATAGTCTTTCAAATGTCTGTTCATTCATTATTGTGAGACTACATTCAGTGTCTATCTCAAAGTTAACAAACTTACTATCCAGCTTCACTTCAACCATGTATGGGTCTACTCGTCTCGGGTGCACTTCACCCAATCTGAACCTCATCTTACTCAGAAAGAATGTATCTTCTTCTGAGCCATCACTTTGGCTCTGTTGCTCTTGTACTTTATGAGAACGGTGATATGTGGTTTGCCTCCTTTCTCTCTTTGGGTCTGCATTTTTGTTGCTGTTTCCATTCTGTGTAGATCTACTACGACAAGCTCTGGCGATGTGTCCTATGTTACCACATGCATGACATTTCTCTTGTTTAAACGTACAGTCTGCTGCTTCATGCTTGGTTCCCTTGCATCTGTAGCACTCGTTGGTAGGTTCTCTGTGTGCATAAGCCTCCTGTGGCTTTTTATCCATGTTGAAGCATTTAGCTGTGGCCCCTTGGCTTTGTATCTCCTGTGCATTTTTATTTGCAGTCTCTGACGCCACAGCAATTGACAATGCTTTTTCAAATGTTACATCCACTTCTGATAAGAGTCGTCTCTGAATCCGATGTTCATTTATTCCACAGACGATCCTGTCTCTCAACCTTTGCTGCAAAGTGTTACCATAGTTGCAATCCTGCGCTAACCGACGCAGCTCAGCCACGTATTCCATTACTGACTCATTGGGCTCACGGTTGCGGGAGTCAAACTTGTACCTTTGCACAATTTCACTAGGCTTTGGGTCAAAGTGATCTTTTAGCAGCTCCACAAGTTGTGTGTAAGTCTTATCCTTGGGCTTATCCGGACTGAGGAGGTTTTTCATAAGGCTGTATGTTGATGATCCCACAACACTTATTAATATGGCTCTTTGTCTGTCTCCATTATCAATTTCATTAGCCTCAGAAAACTGTTCCAATACCTCACAGTATTCTTCCCACTTCTGATGTTTTGCATCAAAAGGTGCCAGCGTGCCAATCATTCATGGGCGCGGGAAGGGGGGTGCTGAGGGTGCTGCAGCACCCCCTAGCGACGGGCAGGGGGTGCGGAGCTCCCCTGTCTGAATTATTATTTGACGGTTATTGTTATTGCTGCTCCCGCTGTGCATAATCTGTGTAATATGTAGCCAATAAATTCCACATTGTTGGCTACAATTCTGTAGCCCCGGACAATTCTACCTCAATAATATAATACATTAACCGTGCTTTACGTGAACCTCATCAAGACACTAGAGAGGACGGCAGGACTGTAATTTCCAGTGTTCAGTGAATGCAACAACAGAGGCAAGACACCAGACCAACCAGAGAGTTGCATAGAGAGAGAGAGAGAGAGAGAGAGAGAGAGAGAGAGAGAGAGAGAGAGAGAGAGAGAGAGAGAGAGAGAGAGAGAGAGAGAGAGAGAGAGAGAGAGAGAGAGAGAGAGAGAGAGATTTTGATTTTTCAAACCACTTTTATTCACAAAGCAAATAACCAAACAGACACATTGTCAGTTCAGACAACGACTGAGAATAAGCTCCTCCTTCTCCTCAGAACACAAAGCATTTTTAACCGCATGGCCTCAAATTCTCCCACATTTTGTGTTATGCAAAAGTAACTGTAGTCCGCTTTCAGTCTTGCTTTAACCATCCGCTTGAAAATCGAAACTGCATCGGTATCCAATGATCCCGCAACTTTATTCCTCCTGCTGAGGTAGATGGCCGTTTCAGCCCCAACAACACATTCAAAAGCTGACTTTTGCACTTTTGCTTCTGGCTGTACCTACAACCCAAAATGAACATTGATTTAGAAAAAACCACATTAAACAAAATCAACATCTGAGTGAGTAACTGAAAATGACAAAGGAGTCGACCACACGAGAGAGAGACCTGCTGGCACCGTGTTGTTAGCATCTGGTTAGCTAGCTGCACTAACGGACACAAGGAGCTGTTTGTTCCACAACAAGCTGGAGGAGAGGTCTCCTCTCAGACTGAGAGGCTCAGGTGAGCTAAAGGACTCTCTGAGGGTTTAGATATTTATTCAAAAGATTATTTCCGCGGCACACCTTCATATGATCATTATAGTTATAAAAAAAATAAGAGAATAAAGGAAAAACAGGTATGAAATACTATATGGCAGTAAAACAAGAATACAGTTTGAAAGGGTAAAAAAGTAAATCTGTTTACAGTTGTGTTTCATCTGGGTGTTGAGAGAGGTATCCATAGATCTCCTAATGTTGCTCTCAAAGTGCACCAGATTGATGCTTTCAACTTCAATATTTAAAAAAATTCTTCCCGGGGGAGCTTCCCCCCGGACCCCAGGAGGTGAGGTCCGCTCCCCACTCGTAAAAAATAACACTTTACCCCTGCCTATTAGGGTTGCCAGAAACTGACCATGATCAAAATCGATTATTCGGCAGCCCTGGCGAATAATCGATTATTCGACCGACGACGAATGCAATAACATGTAATAATAACACAAGGTAAGATACCACAATTATCTAATGATATTTCAATATACATTTATATTGTCGTTGTATCTGTGGCATAAAATAGTAGCAGAGATGTTGATAAACTAACTAAAAACTAAATATATCGTCCAAAACACATTTAACTACTTGAGATATAAGAGTTTTGTGATATCACATGTAGAGTCAATGCAAAGACCCAGATCCGTACCTGGCAACACGAAGGAAGTGAAGAAGTGAAATTCATATCACCTGCGTATTCGTGAAACATTTAAACTTGAGTGTAAAGTTAGTGACGCTCTGTTGCAGAAACCTGTCAGTGTTGAGATTGTGCTCCTGTGGTCTCTGACGGTCTGAGGGGAATCAGAGAGGAGAGCAGAGCTCTACAGCAGCTCATATTCAATCAGGGTTATTCATGTTCCCGTTTAAACCAGACCTGCTGTCTGCCCGTTTTGTGAGTGCACTGCGCACTTGCGGCATTGTTTGAGATGACTAGGGTGACCCGCGTCCTACAAATTGAGACTATGTCCCGCATTTGAGTGACAGTCGCGCAGAAAGTTCGGTTCGCTGACGTCCGGCACGTCCTTTATTATTTTAAACGGCATCATGTATGTTGCCCCCCCCCGTTGACAGTTCAGTTCACGAGCGTCGACATTGCGTCCACCCAGTAAAAAAATCCCCACTACACCACTGCTCATGACTACATGAAGTCATTCTGAGTGTTGATGGAGCAGCTAATGTTAGCATAGCTTTAATCAAACCGATCTCATTCAGAAAACATTTTAAATGTTTATGCTCGTTGTGTTGGAGACAGACCTGACGAAGCATTAACTCAAGCTTTTCACAAATCAGTAGCTTCATGTTGTTTTATTGCTGCATCCTTTCCAGATGTTTATTGCTATTAATTCACAGCAAATTCTATGTGAATTGTGTTTATAATGTGCACCAGGTTAATACAGCTGTGTGTGTTTAGTAGAGACACTGACCATGTGCTCCTCTGGGTGAGGAATCCAGACAGGAGGAGGTTTGCTTTTATAATAGTGTGAGGTGTAAACTATCTACCTTGTCCTGGCTCGTTTCCTCTGTGTGTGCTGCTCGGGACGTATGTGCCATACAAGCATACACAGCTCATGTTCGGAGACATCTTAAAGAAAGGCATCAGTAAAGTGGAACTTCCGTGAGAACTATTCATATCTTAGACTGCACTGTAACTTTTTATTCATGTATTTTTTCTTTTAATGACTGTTTTTAAATGCCTTTGTCTTAATGTCTTTCATTTTTGTAAAGCATCTTGAATTGCCTTGTGTTGAAAGGTGCTAAACTTGTCTTGTCTTACCTGATCACTAAGATATATTATATACAGATATAGACCTTTTTACTTTACCCCTTGGTGAACCTTTGGTGAGAATCAGCTCCTCTAATGTAAAGTGCTGTAAAAGATGTGTTCCTCTCCACAGAGGGAAGAGGAAGAGTCCTGTTCCTGTGGAGCAGCAGCCGTCCAGCTGTGCTCTGTGTCAGGACGTCCTGAAGGATCCAGTCTCTACCAGCTGTGCTCTGTGTCAGGACGTCCTGAAGGATCCAGTCTCTACCAGCTGTGCTCTGTGTCAGGACGTCCTGAAGGATCCAGTCTCTACCAGCTGTGCTCTGTGTCAGGACGTCCTGAAGGATCCAGTCTCTACCAGCTGTGCTCTGTGTCAGGACGTCCTGAAGGATCCAGTCTCTACCAGCTGTGCTCTGTGTCAGGACGTCCTGAAGGATCCAGTCTCTACCAGCTGTGCTCTGTGTCAGGACGTCCTGAAGGATCCAGTCTCTACCAGCTGTGCTCTGTGTCAGGACGTCCTGAAGGATCCAGTCTCTACCAGCTGTGCTCTGTGTCAGGACGTCCTGAAGGATCCAGTCTCTACCAGCTGTGCTCTGTGTCAGGACGTCCTGAAGGATCCAGTCTCTACCAGCTGTGTTCTGTGTCAGGACGTCCTGAAGGATCCAGTCTCTACCAGCTGTGGACACTGGTTCTGCAGACAGTGCATCACCTCATACTGGGAGCAGCGCCCTCCATCAGGAGACCCCTCCTGTCCCCAGTGTGGAGGCAGATCCAGAAGCAGAGCTGGACTGCAGACAGCCAGTCAGACCAGCTCTGTACGAGGTAAGAGGCCGAACACACGCAGCGTCTTTAGATCCGTCGGGGTGCTGGGTCTCTACTCTTGTATGAACTCTCATCGGCTCAAGAGTGTCATCTGGTCTTCTTCCAGGCATTGTTTTTTAAGTATTTTAAAATAGAGAGAAGTCAATCATCAATCAATCATCAATCAATCAGCATCTACTGGACTTTGAGAAAGGGTTCCACTCCAATGACACAGCTTTTCTTTTCAGACTTTTTATTTAGCAGTTCACTTGAATGTCTTTGCTGACTGGGTCACTTTGTGCAGGTGAAAAACCTTTGAAAACAAGAAAGATTCATTTTAGAACTTTGTAAGTTATCAAAAATAAATAAAGCATGTAACAAAACATGGAAACAATACATTTGTTTGGCAACTGCTGCCTTAATTATGACTATGTCACACACTGGTTCAGCAGACTAAGCACAGACATATTCATTTTAAACATAAAACGTTTCTTTAAACCCAAGCTCTTTTAAAATCTCAGCAGATTTAATTAACTGGATTTTACCAGAAATGTTCCTAACAAATCAAATGAATTATGTTTAAACAAGAAAATATTATTTCCTCCTTTAACAGAGGTTAGGCTGGCCACAATAAAAGGCCACTCTGAAACATGCATTTTTGCTTTATTGGGGGGGGTCCGAAAACCAGTCAGTATCTGGTGTGAGGGTTAGGGTTAGGGTAATGTTGTGAATCGAGTGGCCTGTGTTCGTCGTCCATAACATACGCCTGCCCATACCATAACCCCACCACCACCATGGGCCACTCGATTCACAACATTACCCTAACCCTAACTGCAGACCCCCTCCCCCACGACTACGCCTCGAAATCCGATCCATGTATATTACAAACAGGATTGGTGACAAAGCGCAGCCCTGGCGGAGGCCAACCCTCACCAGAAATGGGTCCGACTTACTGCCGAGGACCCGGACACAGCTCTCGCTTTGGGAGTACAGAGATTGGATGGCCCTGAGTAGAGACCCCCTCACCCCATATTCCCGCAGCACCTCCCACAGTAACTCCCTGGGAACTCGGTCATACGCCTTCTCCAAGTCTACAAAACACATGTAGACCGGATAAGCGTACTCCCAGGCCCCCTCCAGGATCCTTGCGAGAGTAAAAAGCTGATCCATCGTTCCACGACCAGGACGGAATCTGCATTGTTCCTTAAACTTTCCCGGGGAGGCTGAGTAGTGTGATGCCTCTGTAATTGGCACACACCCTCTGATCCCTCTTTTTAAAAAGGGGAACCACCACCCCGGTCTGCCACTCCTTCGGTACTGTTTCCGACTTCCACGCAACGTTGATGAGACGTGTCAACCATGACAGTCCCTCAACACCCAAAGCCTTCAGCATTTCTGGGCGGATCTCATCCACCTCCGGGTCTTTGCCACTGTGGAGTTGTTTGACGACCTCAGTGACCTCCCCCCGGGAGATTGGTGTTGATCCCCCGTCATACTCCAGCTCTGCCTCTAACATAGAGGGCGGAGTTGTCGGGTTCAGGAGTTCCTCAAAGTGTTCCTTCCAACGCCCTAACACTCCATCAGTTGAGGTCAACAACGTCCCATCCTTACTGTACACAGCTTGGATGGTTCCCTGCTTCCCCCTCCTGAGGTGTCGGACAGTTTTGCAGAACAACTTTGGTGCCGCCCAAAAGTCCTTTTCCATGTCATCTCCGAACTTCTCCCACACCCGCTGCTTTGCCTCGGCCACGGCTAAGGCTGCTGCCCTTCGGGCCTGTCGGTACCTTGCAACTGCCTCGGGAGTCCCCCGGGATAACAAATCCCTGAAGGCCTCCTTCTTCAGTCGGACGGCTTCCCTGACCACCGGTGTCCACCAGGAGGTTCGAGGGTTACCGCCCCTTGAGGCACCTAGGACCTTGAGACCACAGCTCCCCGCCGCGGCTTCGGCAATAGAGGCTTTGAACACCGACCACTCTGGTTCAATGTCCCCAACCTCCACAGGAATGCCCGAAAAGCTCCGCCGGAGGTGTGAGTTGAAGGCCTCCTGAACTTGTGCCTCCTCCAGACGTTCCCAGTTCACCCGAACTACACGTTTGGGCTTACCAGGTCTATCCAGAGGCTTCCCCCGCCACTCGACCCAACTCACCACCAGATGGTAATCAGTTGACAACTCCGCCCCTCTCTTTACCCGAGTGTCCAAAACATACGGCCTCAGGTCCGATGATACGATAACGAAATCGATCATGGACCTTCTGCCTAGGGTGCTCTGGTACCACGTTCCTCCCAATCACGCCCCTCCAAGTGTCTCCATCATTGCCCACATGTGCGTTGAAGTCTCCCAGCAAGATTAAAGAGTCCCCTTCAGAAGCCCCATACAGGACTCTTTCCAGGGTCTCCAAGAAGGCTGTATACTCTGAACTGCTGTTGGGTGCATAAGCACACACAACAGTCAGAGTTCTCCCCCCCATAACCCGCAGGCGTAGGGAGGCGACCCTCTCGTCCACTGGGGTAAACTCCAACAACGAAGCACCCAACCGGGGACTTGTGAGTATCCCCACACACACCTTGAGCAACTCCGGAGAATAATAGAGTCCAACCCCTATCCAGAAGTAACACAAGGTTCCAGACAACACAGCCCCAGGTTCATCAGGGCACACAAACCTCTCTACCACGGTAAGGTGCTGGTTCTTCAGATAAATGTAACTTATTTTATTTTTGTTGTTCATTTATATCTTATTTTACCTTAACATTTATTTATTTATGCATATTTTTGTATCTCTCCAACTTTAAACGATATTTTTGGTTTACTGTCCTATAGTATACTTTGGAATGATTTCAAACCTGTTTTTATTTATCCTAATAATTATAAAGGAGTGCCTTGGAAATATGTGTTTACATAATTTGTAAACACATATTTGTTTGAGACCCACTGAGATAGCTTAGACTAAAATTAACTTATCTAAACACTCAGAGAGTCCTTTACCTCACTGAGCCTCTCAGTTTGACAGGAGAGCTCTCCTCCACCCTGGTTGTAGAAACATCTACTTCTTATATCCGTTAGAGCAGCTAGCACCAGATTCTAACAACAACAGTGCCGGTACCGGTGCGCCCTCTCCCTCGCTCACTCTCTCGCTCCCACGCTCGCACTTTGGCTGTGAGCTGCGGGCACCTGATAAGTCAACATCCCCCACTTTCATCACTTACAGCGCCCATCGTACAGGGCAAATGAAAAGTGTAACCGGGGTGAAAAGGGTGTTACATTTACTTAATTATGATTGTTGTTACATCAAGGCCGAAAATTAGGATGAGCGCCAACCTCCCCAGATCTGGCGTCCCTATGCCAAAAATCGGCCATGCCAGTATACAGTGGCAATGTCTCAAGATTTAGCAAAAATACACCTTTATTGAAAATACAGTAACACAAATCCACATAACAAACAATCAAAAATGAAAAAGGGTCGCCACTTTTTTTTTTGGGTACCTGCGCCGCCGCTATTTGTATAGGGGAAACACTGCAGCCTGTTGATGCCTTCTCTGGCATTTGCTTTGCCACTCGTTCGCTGGCAAGTTCAGAAACTTTGGCCCATTTTACCACTCTGAGTTTTCGTCCAGGTCTTGAGGGCTTCCTCCTCTGGTGATTATGTCAGCGATGTTGTATGGACCAGGAATCCACCACAATAAATAATAAATTGCATGGTTCCTTTTTAGGAAGAAAGCAGGAAATGTTTGGTGTGTGTGTGTGTGTGTGTGTGTGTGTGTGTGTGTGTGTGTGTGTGTGTGTGTATGTGTGTGTGTGTGTGTGTGTGTGTGTGTGTGTGTGTGTGTGTGTGTGTGTGTGTGTCGGCTGTCAGTGGTGGAGTCAGTCACTCATGTGATCCGCTCCGTCACATTATCCTCTCCCTCCCCAAGGTTGGCGATGTGCGGCAACCTGGAAAGGCAATCAGCCACCTCCACGCTTTGGCAATGCGTCCAAACCGCAACAAACAGTTCTCCATGTCCTCACCGCACTGGTACTGTGGAATCTCCGCACAGTGCCTCCACCCAGGCGCCGGCCGATCAGGCTGGCCATCGGAGTCCGATTGAGGAAACGGACCACCAACCGGAACAGAAGTCTGTAGGTCCCGGAGCTCCGCCAACAGGAACTCCTCTCGCCCTGGTTCACTGGCCGACCCCGAGGCCACAGGAGCCGCTGGGCCCACCCAGGACCCGTCCTCATCATCGTCCTCCGTCTCCCATGCCTGCTCCGACCTGGCAGCCGCGCTCTCCTCCTGCTGCTGACACCGGGATCGTAGTCCCGTGCTCCGCTCCGCTGCCTTCGCCCAGCTTCCTCCGACTAGCCATCCCACTTCTGACACCATATGTGACGGGGCTCTATTGTCCGTATGGAAATACTGGCGGTTGGGTTAAGCTCCAACACTTTAATAACAGCAGCAAAAAAATAAAATAACGAACCAGCACAACTTAAACAAAACAAATGTCCAAATCAAACCGTCCGTCACTCATCAGAGTAAACGTGTTCTGGTGTTGCCCTCTCTGCAACCATCTCCCGAACACGTCCCAGCTGTCGCCTTCACTGCAACATTCTTCCGAGCCCTTCTCCAGGGCCAAAACCGTCCATTTTGAACCCATAGCCCCTCCCACAGGCTTACCGTCAACAGGTGACGCAATTACCTCAAACCACATTGTCCACATAAAAAAATCCGACCCAAACATAAACCTCTTAACCTAATCATTTAACAAATTAACAAACGCACAATAAATAATAAATTGCTTGGTTCCTTTTTGGGAAGAGAGCAGGAAATGTGTGTGTGTGTGTGGTGTGTGTGTGTGTGTGTGTGTGTGTGTGTGTGTGTGTGTGTGTGTGTGTGTGTGTGTGTGTGTGTGTGTGTGTGTGTGTGTGTGTGTGTGTGTGTGTGTGTGTGGTGTGTGTGTGTGTGTGGAGCACATGGCTTCTTAGCATGCAAAATGACCATTCTGCATGTTAAGTAGCCATGTTCTTTCGTGTTATGGCTGAATCTTTATTCATTGATTAGATCACGTTACTCTGATGAGTGTTCAATACAGCCTATATGTCTGAACTCGATCCTTAGAGTAATGTGTTACGGAGCCTTCTCTTCAATATTGTTTCCACATAATGAGCATTTTGCGCAAGAAAACTTGCTCGAGTCCGAGTCCAAGTCGGAGCGTCAATGTACAAGTCGAGTCCGAGTCATCGTGGGGGGAAAAATTCACGAGTCCAAGTCATCGTGCGCGAGTCCGACTCGAGTCCGAGTCCAGGACTCGAGTACTCCAACTCTGATTAGCCTGAGGCTCTGTTTGACTTTACAGATATAAAGGGGAATGTTAGCCCTGCAAAGAACTTCTACAGAAGATAGTAAAGATATCTGATGGCTAGGATCCTTGTCTTCATATCCAGAATCCTTACTGGTTTATTTGTTTTCGATTAGGTATACTGTTGTAGTACATTAAGCTGTTTTATAAAAACCTTTTAAAACTGTATTTTTTTTAGTTATAATTAGATTCTCAAAAGCATTTTCCTCCTTCTCTCACGTTTCCTTCTCTTCCAGCAGAACGTGGTCTGCAGGAGGTTCTAGATGAACATCGGCTCAGTCTGAGGAGGAGATGTGAACGTGTGACTGAAGGGACTGATCAAAGTGAAACCCTCCTCAACAGCATCTTCACTGAGCTCTACATCACACAAGGCCAGAGTGAAGAGGTTAATACCCAGCATGAGGTGAGGCAGCTGGAGACAGCTTCCAAGAAGGAGACCCTCCATGACACTCCAATCAAGTGCCAGGACATCTTTAAAGCCTTACCTGACCAGCAGACTCCCATCAGAGCGGTCCTGACCAACGGAGTCGCTGGAGTTGGAAAAACCTTCTCAGTGCAGAAGTTCACTCTGGACTGGGCCGAGGGTTTGGGAAACCAAGATGTCAGTCTGATGATCCCGCTCTCCTTCAGGGAGCTGAACCTGATCAAAGGTGAGCAGTACAGTCTTCTCAGGCTGCTCCATGTTTTCCATCCAACCTTACAGAAGGTCACAGCAGAGCAGCTGGCTGTCTGCAAAGTGCTGCTCATCTTTGACGGCCTGGATGAAAGCAGACTTTCTCTGGACTTCAGAAACAATGAGGTTGTGTCTGATGTCTCACAGCAGTCCTCAGTCAACGTGCTGCTGACAAACCTCATCAGGGGGAAGCTGCTTCCCTCGGCTCTCGTCTGGATAACTTCCAGACCTGCAGCGGCCAATCAGATCCCTCCTGAGTGTGTGGACAGGGTAACAGAAGTACGAGGCTTCACTGACGCCCAGAAGGAGGAGTACTTCAGGAGGAGATCGAGTGATGACCTGTCCAGCAGAATCATCTCTCACATCAAGAGCTCCAGGAGCCTCCACATCATGTGTATGATCCCAGTCTTCTGCTGGATCACTGCTGCAGTTCTGGACCACATGTTGACTACAGACCAGAGAGGAGAGCTGCCCAAGACCCTCACTGACATGTACTCACACTTCCTGCTGGTCCAGACCAGGAGGAAGAAGCAGAGGTGGGAAGAGGGACATGAGACGAGTCCACAGCAGCTGACGGAGGCTGACAGGGAGCTTCTTCTGAAGCTGGGGAGGCTGGCGTTTGAACATCTGGAGAAAGGAGACATCATGTTCTACCAAGAAGACCTGCAGCGCTGTGGTCTTGGTGTCACCGAGGCCTTGGTGCACTCAGGACTTTGTACAGAGATCTTCAAAAGAGAGAGTGTGATCTTCCAGAAAACAGTCTACTGCTTTGTTCATCTGAGCATTCAGGAGTTCCTGGCTGCAGCCTACTTGCTCCACTGTTACACCAACAAAGACACAGCGCTACTGAAGCACTTCCTGAAGAGAGACTGGCCCTATAAGGACAGTACAATCAGTGATCAGGATTACCCATCCCTGGAAGTCTTTCTAAAGACCGCCATGGCAAAATCCCTCAGAAGTAGAAATGGCCACCTGGACCTGTTTGTCCGCTTCCTCCACGGCCTCTCTCTGGAGTCCAACCAGAGACTGTTAGGAGGCCTGCTGGGTCGCACAGACAACCGTCCAGAAATCATCCAGAGAGCCATCAACAACCTGAAGGAGATGAGAGGTGATCAAATCTCTCCTGACAGGAGCATCAACATCCTCCACTGTCTGACAGAGATGAAGGACCTCTCAGTAACTCAGGAGATCACAGAGTTCCTGAAGTCAGAGAACAGATCAAAGAAGAAACTCTCTGTGATCCGCTGCTCTGCTCTGGCCGACATGCTGCAGATGTCAGAGGAGGTTCTGGATGAGTTTGACCTGAGGAAGTACAAAACATCAGCAGAGGGACGACGGAGACTGCTTCCAGCTGTGAGGAACTGCAGGAAGGCTGTGTAAGTCCAGATGTGGTTAACTTAAAAAACAAAACAATGTGGATCAGGAGTTTAATTATTAAAATAAACACGATAACATTTCTGCTGTTTAAATACTAAGAGAGCAAAATAAAACCAACACCGTTCTTCTATTTATTTATAATAATAGTTCAATTGAACCGTGTCTCTCTTCATATTGAGTGATGGAGGCGACATGTCAAACACATGAAGGACTTACAGTTATCAGTTATATTACTTTCTAGTAGTTTCTTTATCATCAAACAGATGCACACATTTGTATCACATTGTGTTAGAGTTTAAAATAAGATCTATATAATTTTCCACCAATAACAGAGTTATGTCTTAATGCTGATATACTGGGAACATCTGATGGTATTTAGCAGGATCGTAACATTTCCATCAAAATCCATTATTACCCGTCGGACTGTACACAACTCTGTCGGGGGGGGGGGGGGTGGAGAGCACGCTCGTGAACTGTCAACGGGGGACTGTTAGCGCCGTGTTATGCATGCCCACTGCACCTCGCGGGAGCGCGCACAGCGTAAAGCAAATACTCACAGACGTTTCAATGACCTGTTCGGTAAAGTTAGGTTTGGAAACTATGATTTCCTTTTGGGCGGGCATGCATAACACGGCATAACACCGGAGCCTCGCTGCGGGGACACTGTGGCGCTGTTCTGAGTTTGTTCTAATCCGTCAAAATGACGGACGGCTTTCAGATTTTTCCGTCATTGTTAAAAAAAATCCGTCATAGGCGGGAACATATTTGGTTAACGCGACCTCTGGTATTAAGTTTAACATATTGAAACTTTATTGGTATGTTAATAGTGTTTGTGTGCACAATACATTTTCAGATGCTCAGAGAAGCAATCTGTCAGGATTCGGGAAAAGGTAGATCCAAATGCAGTATTAAAAAGGATAAGCGAGTTTAAAGGGGTAACAAAAAGCGTACTTTATTTTACAAAAGCCGATGACAAAAGAAAACAAGAAACAAACTCGGGACTCGAGAGGGGACTCGAGAGGGGACTCGAGAGGAGACTCGAGAGGGGACTTGAGAGGGGACTCGAGAGGGGACTCGAGAGGAGACTCGAGAGGGGACTTGAGAGAGGGCTTGAGAGAGGGCTTGAAAGGAGAGTCGAGGAAACTCGAGAGGGGACTCGAGAGGGAACTTGAGAGGTGACTTGAGAGGGGACTCAAGAAGAGACTCGAGAGGGGACTTGAGAAGGGACTCGAGAGGGGACTTGTGTCGGTCGGTACGCCGACAGGAGACGAGGTGCTGGAGTCGGCCGGTACGTCGACAGGACACGAGGGGCTGGAGTGGGCCAAACCACTGACATGACACAGGGGGCTGGCGTCGGCTGAGGAGCCAGTACTGGAGCCGAAACTGGAACCAGAAACATGGCAGCAGCGGCCGAAACTGGGGCCGGTACCATGGCTGCTGGGGCACGGGCTGGAATCCTGGCCCTGCGTCTCCTAGAGGCCTTTTGGAGACTCTGTGGACCTCCAACAGGACAGTAGTCTGATTCCAGGAAAAGGTTAGAGGCTTGAGAAAAGTTTCCAGGACTACTTGTAAAAAGTTGTAGCCACTCAGGCAACAAACTCCTGAGTCAGGGCTTGCGAGCAACCTCCTGGCGTGCCTCCCTCAAAGCAGCCACTCTACCCCGTCTAGATGAGGTGTCATACCAGGTATAAAAAAATGTACTCCAGAGAGTACCCAAGACGTTCCGACGGTAGAATCAAAAAATCTGAATCTGCTGAGTCCAAAGCTGGTCGGTTAATTCGGTCAGGATTCGGGAAAAGGTAGGACCCAAATGCAGTATTAAAAAGGATAAGCGAGTTTTAAGGGGTAACAAAAAGCTAGCTTTATTTTACAAAAGCCGATGACAAAAGAAAACAAGAAACAAACTTAACATTACCAAATCAGGGGAGCACGAGTAAAGAATCCAGGATCAAAAAACTTCAGGGACAAACATGGAGCGTGACGTGAAGGGAAAGACAAACAATGAACCGACATGGAGCACAGGGGAAGACAAGACTAAATACAAAGAAGGGTAATCACAGGACAAGACACGGCTGGGCAGGGGAGGCAGAAACACAAGGGCAACAGGTGAACACAATCAGACAATCAGACACAGGAGAGCAAACACAGAGGCCGTTTCTCAATCTCGAGGATGCTGGCTTGGTAGTCGCGTACTTCCAAGTCACTTCCTTCAGAAACGAAGGAAGTATACTTCCAAGCCACGGCTTCGGAAAACGAAGAAGAATGGAACAGGCTAACAAGTGTGCCACTCTCTCTAACGGTTTCAACATAAACTGTACCGAAAATAAATACCTCACGATGTCTATCTAATTATGAACTTGCTTTACTTTCAGGAACACATTTTCGGTGATAACAAAGTAACATATTTACCAACACATGTTCTACGCCACTACATACTTACATTTCAATGCGTGCTGCGTCGGTTCAGCCATTCTCCGCAAGGGTTTTTGAAATTGGTCCGTGCGCAAAGCATTGTGGGGATTTGAAGGACGCGAAGTCTACCCATGTGAAGCCTCGAAATCTCCCCCAAACCAAGGACGCGGCCTCGGTGGAATTCCAAGTATGCTGGAGATTGGAACAGTCCTTCGGCGGCACTCGATGACTTAGCATCCTTGAAATATTGGCTTGGAAGCCAGTTTCCTCGAGATTGAGAAATGGCCAGAGACAGGAATCAACAGACAAGACAGGGGGTGAACACTTTTCAAAATAAAACAGGAAACCAGAGACAGACAAAACACAACACAGACAGACTGTGACACAATCTGGCAGCAGTCTCTGACAGCAGAAGGTAGCACAGACATGTGATCAGATCACACTGACAATGCACACATTGAACTCAATTATATATATGTATATAATATATATATATTAGGGCTATATATATATATTATATATATTATATATATATATATATATATTAGGGCTGTCAAGTTAACGCGTTAATAACGCGTTAATGCAAAAAAAATTAACGCCACTAATTATTTTAACGCGATCAACGCAAGTGTATTTTTTTTCCTCGCCCGCCCCGTAGTTTCAGAGCGCATCGAGTTTAAAATACCGTCTACAAGCTGATGCTGACAGCCTCGCTCCTGCCGCCCGCTTGCAGCAGACCACACTTCCACGCTCACCGGCAGGCACCGACTGGCTGTTGGGAGGACCGGGAGGGTGTGTGTATGTGTGGCCCGAGCGAGCGAGAGAGAGACCTTACGTGCATTGTTGTTGTTAGCATCTGGTGCTAGCTAGCTGCGCTAACGGATATAAGGAGCTGTTTAAATGAAAACAGAGGAGCGACATTTCGCCATAACTGCGCCGAGCACTTGACTTTATGCAGGAAGCCAGACAGTGGGACATTGTACGAGAAGTCAGCACACTCAGCACGGATAGTGCGCAACATGATTGCAGCGTCCAGGCAGCTCCTGTTCGAGCATATGCCTTGAGTTGCACATAGCTCCAACGATCCATCACACACCGTTTTGTTTATTGTTTGTTTCCACTTTAGTAGTGAGATTTGTTTTTCTTTGTGTAGCGGGGCAACTCTCTTTTGGAGACCCCTTGTGTTGTTATATAGTGACAGATTGACCCGTTGTTGGGCCAATCTGTGTGTACATCATTTTACTTAGTTTCAGTCATAAATAAAACCACCGGTAACAAATATACCAAATCCAATCTGGTCGTTTCCCGTTTGCACACACACACACACACACACACACACACACACACACACACACACACACACACACACACACACACACACACACCACACACACACACACACACACACACACACACACACACACACACACACACACACACACACACACACACACACACACACACACACACACACACACACACACACACACACACACACACACACCATTTGTATTGTATTATTGAATGAGAGAGGTTCCAGGTTGCTGTGTTTAATATTCATGAGGATATTTGTCATTGATCAAATGATAATAAACATTAGCATAAAGCATATTTGTCCTCTCATATGTTGATAAGAGTGTTAAAAACTTGAAGAATATTCCTCTAAGGTACATTTAGAACAGATCAAAAATGTGCGATTAATTTGCGATTAATCGCGATTAACTATTTTAATCGACTGACAGCCCTAATTTTTATATATTATATATTAATTAGGGCTGTCAAACGATTACAATTTTTAATCAGATTAATCACAGTTTAAAAATTAATTAATCAGATTAATCACCATTCGAACTATGTCCAAAATATGCCATTTCTTTATGTATATTGTTGGGAATGGAAAGATAAATGAAAGAAGGCGGATATATCCATTTAACACACAGTATCTATGTTTATTATAACATTGTTCTGTGTGTCAAAATGAAAGACAACCCACACACCTATCAATCATCAAACCGTGGGGTCTTAATTCATTACGTGTTGATTTCTATCAACGGGGGAGTACTTCAGGAAAGACGGGGGGGCTATTGGAGTACTTCGTGACCACAGAGTGTGTAGTACAAGTGACGGTACGCATTTCAGATTACGCACATAACCTGCGTACCAGTTATGTGCACCCCACATTACATTAATACATTAAAAGTATTCTCCGTCGGGATTTCCTGCAACAACGCCGTTATCTTGATTCTGATTGGCCAGAAGACATTATCAAAGATGTTCTATTGAGAAGACGATCACTACGTGACAAAAGTTTTCAAAACCGTGGCTACTGAAATCAATCTTACTATCTGCTGTCTGTGCAATTTACTCCGCGCGAGTTGGCAGACTTTATTTTGTTTACTTTAACATCATTGTTCATGGTGGGGCTAAGCCATCTCTTGGTATGGGTGTAGCCTACCCCAGCCATACCCTGGCGCTGCCACTGGTGGCACGTATGCGGCGGGCCATTCTGCACATGCGTTAAATGCGTTAAATATTTTAACGCAATTCATTCAAAAAATTAATTACCGCCGTTAACGCGATAATTTTGACAGCATTAATATATATATATATAATAATATTACATTATTATAAAATGGCATCAGTAAATGTCATACTGTATGTCAAATCTTTATTCATGAAATCCTCGAGGTTAATATAATATTCCCTCTTTTTTAACACATGTTGAAATATATATGTTATTACAGACTTACTGACTGTGGACTCTCAGAGGCTGAATGTGAAGTCGTGGCCTCAGCTCTGAAGTCCGACCCCTCCCATCTGAGAGATCTGGACCTGAGTTTCAACAAAGAGATGCAGGACTCAGGAGTGGAGCTGCTGAGTTCTGGACTAAAGAGTCCAAACTGCAGACTGGAGGCTCTCAGGTCAGTTCACTGACTGAACTTCATATCATTCGGTTTTTGATTTTCTGAATTTGAACAAATACATTTGAATTATTATTTCACACTTTTGCTAATGACTGCATATTGATCAGAGTAACAGAGAGAAGGTGAATGTGTGAGGGAGAGAGTCTGAGCTTCCACAGACTCACCCTGTGCTCCAGGAGTCAGTGCAGATGCTGTCAGTGCTGAGGAGCTGTGAGGGAGAGGAAGGAGTTGATGAACATCTGATCAAAGTTAGAGTTCCAGATCATCAATGGATTGTTTCTACATCATCGCTGACATTAAAACCCTGTTTGACTCTGAACAGATGATGAAACCTGGAGTTCTTTCAAACAGGAACATTGTTTTCTAAAGTGACATCATGTTCTCTTTCTTCAGACTGGTTAGCTGCAGGTTGTCAGAGATCAGCTGTTCTGCTCTGGTCTCAGCTCTGAAGTCCAACCCCTCCCATCTGAGAGTTCTGGACCTGGGATTCAACGCTCTGCAGGACTCAGGGGTGGAGCTGCTGAGAGATCTTCTGGAGAGTCCAGACTGCAGACTGGAGACTCTCAGGTCAGTTCACGGACTCTCTGTTCCTGCTGGAGATCTCACGGTTCACTTTGTAATTTCACCTGATTTATGTACATTAATAACTAAATAAAGGGTCCAGGACCCCAAGTAAGCTCCTGCAGGGATTGTTAGGGAAGTTATTTTTCTTAATATTATTGTATTAATCCTTTAGCTGCTGAACTAGCATACATGTCACTAACGAAGGTGTGGGGTTGGAACACCCTCCTAAACTATTAGTACCAGTGTTATTATGTCGTGTTATGCGTGCACCTCGCGGGAGCGCGCACAGCGTAAAGCAAAAACTCCCAGACATTTCAATGATCTGGGAGTTCTTGAGTAAAAGTAGAAGTACTCAGATCATGTACTTGAGTAAAAGTAGAAGTACTCAGATCTTGTTCTTGAGTAAAAGTAGAAGTACTCAGATCTTGTACTTGAGTAAAAGTAGAAGTACTCAGATCTTGTACTTGAGTAAAAGTAGAAGTACTCAGATCTTGTACTTGAGTTAAAGTAGAAGTACTCAGATCTTGTTCTTGAGTAAAAGTAGAAGTACTCAGATCTTGTACTTGAGTTACAGTAGAAGTACTCAGATCTTGTTCTTGAGTAAAAGTAGAAGTACTCAGATCTTGTACTTGAGTTAAAGTAGAAGTACTCAGATCTTGTTCTTGAGTAAAAGTAGAAGTACTCAGATCTTGTACTTGAGTAAAAGTGGAAGTACTCAGATCTTGTACTTGAGTAAAAGTAGAAGTACTCAGATCTGGTACTTGAGTAAAAGTAGAAGTACTCAGATCTTGTTCTTGAGTAAAAGTAGAAGTACTCAGATCTTGTACTTGAGTAAAAGTAGAAGTACTCAGATCTTGTTCTTGAGTAAAAGTAGAAGTACTCAGATCTTGTACTTGAGTAAAAGTAGAAGTAGTAGAAGTACTCAGATCTTGTTCTTGAGTAAAAGTAGAAGTACTCAGATCTTGTTCTTGAGTAAAAGTAGAAGTACTCAGATCTTGTACTTGAGTTAAAGTAGAAGTACTCAAACCTTGTTCTTGAGTTAAAGTAGAAGTACTCAAACCTTGTTCTTGAGTAAAAGTAGAAGTACTCAGATCTGGTTTACAGGCATTACAATCTTAAAATATTTCAAAGGTTGAAGAAAATATAAACATAATAAAATGAACTAAAATAACACAACTATCAATTCATTAAGTTCCTCGTCACCTTTTTCGTGTCTGATGACTTTGAATCCCTGATAAAGGTCATCTGAAGTCATATTAGTTTAGCATGATACAGTTTACTTTCTGAAGTAAACACATTTTATTGTTCTCATTCATCTAAATGTTGAGTAACGCATCTGACTCGATAATACATTGATCTTATAATGATGTTCTCTTTATTCAGACTGAGGCTCTGCATGTTGTCAGAGACCAGCTGTTCTGCTCTGGCCTCTGCTCTGAAGTCCAACCCCTCCCACCTGAGACATCTGGACCTGAGTAACAACGCTCTGCAGGACTCAGGGGTGGAGCTGCTGAGAGATCTTCTGGAGAGTCCAGACTGCAGACTGGAGACTCTCGGGTCAGTTCACGGACTCTCTGTTCCTGCTGGAGATCTCACGGTTCACTTTGTAATGAACCTGATCATTCAGGGTCATTGTTATAAATATATTACAATTAAATATGTTACTTCCATTAATTTGTAAATGTTGTTTTGTTCATATTTGTATTTCTCTAAATATAGTCAGCAGTCATAGCAGTCGATTGTTAAGAAACTAGTATTCTTCCGCTGTTAAAGTAAATGTTTGTTTTATTTCATAAATGATCTGAATAAAGAAGCTCCTCTGAACTAATATTTTACTTAAAGTTTACTTTCTGACAAAGAAATGTTTATGTTCCCATCATTTAGACGTGTCTTCACCGATAATAAACTGATGTAATGACGATCCTCAAGAACAGACTCTGTAATTCAGGGAAAGCTCATTGATTAGGACGCAGAGATGATGAGCTGCACATTCCAGACCTGAACATCTGACTGGATTATAAACAGATTTTGATCCTCATCATGTTTTCTTTATTCAGACTGTGGAACTGCAGCTTGTCAGAGATCAGCTCTTCTGCTCTGGCCTCAGCTCTGAAGTCCAACATCCATCTGAGAGATCTGAGTCAGAACGCTCTGCAGGACTCAGGAGTGGAGCTGCTGAGAGATCCTCTGGAGAGTCCAGACGGCAGACTCTCAGGTCAGTAACTCACGCCTCTTTTCCACCAAACCAGTTCCAGTTCTAGCACCGTGCTCTTCTGGTTACGGTGTGTGCAGGACCCAAATGCAGATTAAAGTTCAAACATAACTCCTTTATTTCAAGGCTAAACTATAAACGAAGACAGAACAGAACACTCACCGCAGACCAAGTCATAACACAAGACGAACCGACAAAGACAGACAGAAAAACCAGAACTTAAATGCACACAAGACTAATCATACAAACAAGACACAGGTGAGGAGGGAGGAGAAAACACAGGGGCACCAGGTGAACACAATCAGGTAATCAGGGAGGGAAAACAGACAGAAGGCAACAGGCAAAACAGGAGGTGAACACTTTCCAAAACAAAACAGGAAACCAAAGACAGAAAAAACAACACAACACAGACAGATCTTGACATCCTTAAGAGGCTTCTCAATACTCAAATTTCCCCTCCTCGACTCCTCGGTCCTCCGGTAGTGACCCGGAAATGAATTTCAGCGCGCCATTTGAAGGACGTCTCATTTCTCTAAATGCACACCGAGGACCCGAGCATCGAGCGTCGAGGAGGCTCTCTGGAGGAGCTCTAACCGAGGATACACTGATGGTTCCTCCACGGCTCCTCCACGGATGCATTTCCGGGAACGGTGGAGGCGTGACGCACGGCCGGACTTATCTCCAGCCAATGACAGCTCTGCATGCATCCCCCTGGATATTATTTTAGAAACTGCTTTCATCACGTCGCGATGTTTCCAGAGAGAACAGCTGTGAGGTCCGTGCAGAAAGCAGAGCAGTGTGTATCATAGATATCACTCAGTATAACAGGCCGACTCTCTTTGCTTTACCTTAGTAGATATCTACAAACAAAGAGTCCAGATGTTTCTCAGAGCATTTAGTGCTTCACATAATAAAATACACAACGGCTTATGCTTTTGGAGCTGTAGGTGTGTGTGGTACAGTGCGTATAGGTGTGTGTGTTGTACAGTGTGTAGGTGTGTGTGTGTGGTACAGTGTGTAGGTGTGTGTGTGTGGTACAGTGTGTAGGTGTGGTGTTGTACAGTGTGTAGGGTGTGTGTGTGTTGTAAGTGTTAGGTGTGTGTGTACAAGTGTGTAGGTGTGTGTGGTACAGTGTGTAGGTGTGTGTTGTACAGTGTGTACTGTGTGTGGTGGTACAGTGTGTAGGTGTGTGTGTGTGGTTACAGTGTGTAGGTGTGTGGTGGTACACAGTGTGTGAGGTATGTGTGTGGTACAGTGTGTAGGTATGGTGTGTGGTTACAGTGTGGTAGGTGGTGTGTGGTAGTGTGTGGTACAGGTGTGTAGTGTGTGTGTGGTACAGTGTGTAGGTGTGTGTTGTACAGTGTGTAGTGTGTGTGTGGTACAGTGTGTAGGTGTGTGTGGTACAGTGTGTAGGGGTGTGTGGTACAGTGTGTAGGTGTGTGTTGTACAGTGTGTAGGTGTGTGTGGTACAGTGTGAGGTGTGTGTGGTACAGTGTGTAGTGTGTGTGTGTGTGTACAGTGTGTAGGTGTGTGGTGGGTACAGTGTGTAGGTGTGTGTTGTGTACAGTGTGGAGGTGTGTGTGGTACAGTGGTAGGTGTGTGGTAAGTGTGGGGTGGTGTGGTACAGTGTGTAGGTGTGTGTGGTACAGTGTGTAGGTGTGTGTGTGTGGTACAGTGTGTAGGTGTGTGGTACAGTGTGTAGGTGTGTGTGGTACAGTGTGTAGGTGTGTGTGTTACAGTGTGTAGGTGTGTGTGTGTGGTACAGTGTGTAGGTGTGTGTGGTACAGTGTGTAGGTGTGTGTACAGTGTGTAGGTATGTGTGTGGTACAGTGTGTGTGTGTGTGTGGTACAGTGTGTAGGTGTGTGTGTACAGTGTGTAGGTGTGTGGTACAGTGTGTAGGTGTGTGTGGTACAGTGTGTAGGTGTGTTTGTTGTACAGTGTGTAGGTGTGTGTTGTACAGTGTAGGTGTGTGTGGTACAGTGTGTAGGTGTGTGTGGTACAGTGTGTAGGTGTGTGTGTGTACAGTGTGTAGGTGTGTGTGGTACAGTGTGTAGGTATGTGTGTGGTACAGTGTGTAGGTGTGTGTGTGTGGTACAGTGTGTAGGTGTGTGTGTGTGTGGTACAGTGTAGGTGTGTGTGGTACAGTGTGTAGGTGTGTGTTGTACAGTGTGTAGGTGTTGTGTGTGTACAGTGTGAGGTGTGGTGGTACAGTGTGTAGGTGTGTGTTGGTACAGTGTGTAGGTGTGTGTTGTACAGTGTGTAGGTGTGTGTGGTATCAGTGTGTAGGTGTGTGTGGTACAGTGTGTAGGTGTGTGTGTGTGTGGTACAGTGTGTAGGTGTGTGTGTACAGTGTGTAGGTGTGTAGTACAGTGTGTAGTACAGTGTGTAGGTGTTTGTGTGTAGTACAGTGTGTAGGTGTGTGTTGGTACAGTGTGTAGGTGTGTGTGTGTGGTACAGTGTGTAGGTGTGTGTACAGTGTGTAGGTGTGTGTGGTACAGTGTGTAGGTGTGTGTGGTACAGTGTGTAGGTGTGTGTGTGTGGTACAGTGTGTAGGTGTGTGTGGTACAGTGTGTAGGTGTGTACAGTGTGTAGTGTGTGGTACAGTGTGGTGTGTGTGTGGGTACAGTGTGTAGGTGTGTGTGGTACAGTGTGTAGGTGTGTGGTACAGTGTGTAGGTGTGTGGTACAGTGTGTAGGTGTGTGTGTGGTACAGTGTGTAGGTGTGTGTGTGTGGTACAGTGTGTAGGTGTGTGGTACAGTGTGTAGGTGTGTGTTGTACAGTGTGTAGGTGTGTGTGGTACAGTGTGTAGGTGTGTGTGGTACAGTGTGTAGGTGTGTGTGTGGTACAGTGTGTGTGTGTGTGGTACAGTGCGTAGGTGTGTGTGGTACAGTGTGTAGGTGTGTGTGTACAGTGTGTAGGTGTGTTGTGTGTACAGTGTGTAGGTGTGTGTGGTACAGTGTGTAGGTGTGTGTGTGTGGTACAGTGTGTAGGTGTGTGTGGTACAGTGTGTAGGTGTGTGGTACAGTGTGTAGGTGTGTGTGTGGTACAGTGTGTAGGTGTGTGTTGTGTGTGTGTGGTACAGTGTGTAGGTGTACTGTGTAGGTGTGTGTGGTACAGTGTGTGGTGTGTGTGGTACAGTGTGTAGGTGTGTTGTGTACAGTGTGTAGGTGTGTGTGGTACAGTGCGTAGGTGTGTGTGGTACAGTGTGTAGGTGTGTGTGGTACAGTGTGTAGGTGTGTGTGTGTGGTACAGTGTGTAGGTGTGTGTTGTACAGTGTGTAGGTGGTGTGTGTGTGTGTACAGTGTGTAGGTGTGTGTGGTACAGTGTGTCGGTGTGTGTGGTACAGTGTGTAGGTGTGTGTGGTGTGTGGTACAGTGTGTAGGTATGTGTGGTACAGTGTGTAGGTATGTTTTGTACAGTGCGTAGGTGTGTGTGGTACAGTGTGTAGGTGTGTGGTACGTGTGTAGGTGTGTGTGGTACAGTGTGTAGGTGTGTGTGGTACAGTGTGTAGGTGTGTGTGTGTGGGTACAGTGTGTAGGTGTGTGTGGTACAGTGTGTAGGTGTGTGTTGTACAGTGTGTAGGTGTGTGTGTGTGGTACAGTGTGTAGGTGTGTGTGTGTGTGGTACAGTGTGTAGGTGTGTGTGGTACAGTGTGTAGGTGTGTGTGGTACAGTGTGTAGGTGTGTGTTTGTACAGTGTGTGTGTGTGGTACAGTGTGTAGGTGTGTGTGGTACAGTGTGTAGGTGTGTGTGGTACAGTGTGTAGGTATGTGTTGTACAGTGCGTAGGTGTGTGGTACAGTGCGTAGGTGTGTGTTGTACAGTGCGTAGGTGTGTGGTACAGTGTGTAGGGTATGTGTGTGGTACAGTGCGTAGGTGTGTGGTACAGTGTGTAGGTGTGTGTTGTACAGTGCGTAGGTGTGTGTGGTACAGTGTGTAGGTGTGTGGTACAGTGTGTAGGTGTGTGTTGTACAGTGTGTAGGTGTGTGTGGTACAGTGTGTAGGTGTGTGTGTGTGGTACAGTGTGTAGGTGTGTGGTACAGTGTGTAGGTGGTGTGTGTGGGTACAGTGTGTAGGTGTGTGTGGGTACAGTGTGTAGGTGTGTGTGTGGTACAGTGTGTAGGGTGTGTGTTGTACAGTGTGTAGGTGTGGTGTACAGTGTGTAGGTGTGTGTGTGTACAGTGTGTAGGTGTGTGTGTGGTGGTACAGTGTGTAGGTGTGTGTGGTACAGTGTGTAGTGTGTGTGGTACAGTGTGTAGGTGTGGGTGTGTGTGTGGTACAGTGTGTAGGTGTGTGTGGTACAGTGTGTAGGTGTGTGTTGTACAGTGTGTAGGTGTGTGTGGTACAGTGTATAGGTGTGTGTGTGTGTGTGTGTGTGTGGTACAGTGTGTAGTGTGTGTGGTACAGTGTGTAGGTGTGTGTGGTACAGTGTGTAGGTGTGTGTGGTACAGTGTGTAGGTATGTGTGTGTGTACAGTGTGTAGGTGTGTGTTGTACAGTGCGTAGGTGTGTGTGGTACAGTGCGTAGGTGTGTGTGTTGTACAGTGTGTAGGTGTGTGTGTGTGGTACAGTGTGTAGATGTGTGTGGTACAGTGTGTAGGTGTGTGTGGTACAGTGTGTAGGTGTGTGGTACAGTGTGTAGGTGTGTGTGGTACAGTGTGTAGGTGTGTGTGGTACAGTGTGTAGGTGTGTGTGGTACAGTGTGTAGGTGTGTGGTGTGTGGTACAGTGTGTAGGTGTGTGTGGTACACTGCGTAGGTGTGTGTGGTACAGTGTGTAGGTGTGTGTGGTACAGTGTGTCGGTGTGTGTTACAGTGTGTAGGTATGTGTGTGGTACAGTGTGTGTGTGTGTGTGTGTGGTACAGTGTGTAGGTGTGTGTGGTACAGTGCGTAGGTGTGTGTGGTACAGTGTGTAGGTGTGTGTGTGTGGTACAGTGTGTAGGTGTGTGTGGTACAGTGTGTAGGTGTGTGTTGTACAGTGTGTAGGTGTGTGTGGTACAGTGTGTAGGTGTGTGTTGTACAGTGTGTAGGTGTGTGTGGTACAGTGTGTAGGTGTGTGTGGTACAGTGTGTAGGTGTGTGTGGTACAGTGTGTAGGTGTGTGGTACAGTGCGTAGGTGTGTGTGGTACAGTGTGTAGGTGTGTGTGGTACAGTGTGTAGGTGTGTGTGTGTGTACAGTGTGTGTGTGTGTGTGTGTAGGTGTGTGTGTGTGTGTGGTACAGTGTGTAGGTGTGTGTGGTTACAGTGTGTAGGTGTGTGTGGTACAGTGTGTAGGTGTGTGTGGTACAGTGTGTAGGTGTGTGTGGTACAGTGTGTAGGTGTGTGTTGTACAGTGTGTAGGTGTGTGTGGTACAGTGTGTAGGTGTGTGTGTGTGTGTGTGTGTGGTACAGTGTGTAGGTGTACTGTGTAGGTGTGTGTGGTACAGTGTGTAGGTGTGTGTGGTACAGTGTGTAGGTGTGTGTGGTACAGTGTGTAGGTGTGTGTGGTACAGTGTGTAGGTGTGTGTGGTACAGTGCGTAGGTGTGTGTGGTACAGTGTGTAGGTGTGTGTGGTACAGTGTGTAGGTGTGTGTTGTACAGTGTGTAGGTGTGTGTGTGTGTGGTACAGTGTGTAGGTGTGTGTGGTACAGTGTGTAGGTGTGTGTGGTACAGTGTGTAGGTGTGTGTGGTACAGTGTGTAGGTGTGTAGGTGTGTGTGGTACAGTGTGTAGGTATGTGTTGTACAGTGCGTAGGTGTGTGTGGTACAGTGTGTAGGTGTGTGGTACAGTGTGTAGGTGTGTGTGTGGTACAGTGTGTAGGTGTGTGTGTGTGGTTACAGTGTGTAGGTGTGTGGTGGTACAGTGTGTAGGTGTGTGTTGTACAGTGTGTAGGTGTGTGTGTGTGGGTACAGTGTGTAGGTGTGTGTGGTACAGTGTGTAGGTGTGTGTGGTACAGTGTGTAGGTGTGTGTGGTACAGTGTGTAGGTGTGTGTGGTACAGTGTGTAGGTGTGTGTTGTACAGTGTGTAGGTGTGTGTGTGTGGTACAGTGTGTAGGTGTGTGTGGTACAGTGTGTAGGTGTGTGTGGTACAGTGTGTAGGTGTGGTTGGTACAGTGTGTAGGTGTGTGTTGTACAGTGCGTAGGTGTGTGGTACAGTGCGTAGGTGTGTGTGGTACAGTGTGTAGGTGTGTGTGGTACAGTGCGTAGGTGTGTGTGGTACAGTGTGTAGGTGTGTGGTACAGTGTGTAGGTGTGTGTTGTACAGTGTGTAGGTGTGTGTGTTACAGTGTGTAGGTGTGTGTGTGTGTGTGGGTACAGTGTGTAGGTGTGTGTGGTACAGTGTGTAGGTGTGTGTGTGTGTGGTACAGTGTGTAGGTGTGTGTGTGGTACAGTGTGTAGGTGTGTGTGGGTGTGGTACAGTGTGTAGGTGTGTGTGGTACAGTGTGTAGGTGTGTGTTGTACAGTGTGTAGGTGTGTGTGGTACAGTGTGTAGGTGTGTGTGTGTGTGGTACAGTGTGTAGGTGTGTGTGGTACAGTGTGTTGTGTGTGGTACAGTGTGTAGGTGTGTGTGTGTGTGTGTGGTGTGGTGTGTGGTTACAGTGTGTAGGTGTGTGTGGTACAGTGTGTAGGTGTGTGTTGTACAGTGTGTAGGTGTGTGTGGTACAGTGTGTAGGTGTGTGGTGTGTGTGTGTGGTACAGTGTGTAGGTGTGTGTGGTACAGTGTGTAGGTGTGTGTGGTACAGTGTGTAGGTGTGTGTGGTACAGTGTGTAGGTATGTGTGTGGTACAGTGTGTAGGTGTGTGTTGTACAGTGCGTAGGTGTGTGTGGTACAGTGCGTAGGTGTGTGTGTTGTACAGTGTGTAGGTGTGGTGTGTGATGGTACACGTGTGTAGACTGTGTGTGTTTTACAGTGTGTAGGTGTGTGTGTACGTGTGTAGGTGTGTGTGTAACAGTGTGTAGGTGTGTGTGGTACAGTGTGTAGGTGTGTGTGGTACAGTGTGTAGGTGTGTGTTGAGGTCAGGACTCTGAAGCCGACTCAAAGAACACACACTTATTTTAAACTTGATCTAAAACTGTTGGGTTGTGTTCACAGGATCAGAGGAGAGACGACACCTCCACTCTGAGGACACTGTGACTCTGAGGACACCTCCACTCTGAGGACACTGTGACTCTGAGGACACTGTGACTCTGAGGACACCGCCACTTCTGAGGACACATCTACTCTGAGGACACATCTACTCTGAGGACACATCTGACTATGAGGTACACATCTACTCTGAGGACACATCTACTCTGAGGACACCTCCACTCTGAGGACACATCTACTCTGAGGACACCTCCACTCTGATGACACCTCCACTCTGAGGACAACTCCACTCTGAGGACACTGTGACTCTGAGGACACCTCCACTCTGAGGACACATCTACTCTGAGGACACCTCCACTCTGAGGGACACCTCCACTCTGAGGACACTGTGACTCTGAGGACACCTCCACTCTGAGGACACTGTGACTCTGAGGACACCTCCACTCTGAGGACACTGTGACTCTGAGGACACCTCCACTCTGAGGATACCTCCACTCTGAGGACACCACCACTCTGAGGACACCTCCACTCTGAGGACACCACCAATCTGAGGACACCTCCACTCTGAGGACACCACCACTCTGAGGACACCTCCACTCTGAGGACACCTTCACTCTGAGGACACCTTCACTCTGAGGACACCTCCACTCTGAGGACACTGTGACTCTGAGGACACCTCCACTCTGAGGACACCTTCACTCTGAGGACACTATGACTGAGGAGGACACCACCACTCTGAGGACACCTCCACTCTGAGGACACTGTGACTCTGAGGACACCTCCACTCTGAGGACACTGTGACTCTGAGGACACCTCCACTCTGAGGACACTGTGACTCTGAGGACACCTTCACTCTGAGGACACTGTGACTCTGAGGACACCTTCACTCTGAGGACACTGTGACTCTGAGGACACCTCCACTCTGAGGACACCTCCACTCTGAGGACACCTCCACTCTGAGGACACCTTCACTCTGAGGACACTGTGACTCTGAGGACACCTTCACTCTGAGGACACTGTGACTCTGAGGACACCTTCACTCTGAGGACACTGTGACTCTGAGGACACCTTCACTCTGAGGACACTGTGACTCTGAGGACACCTCCACTCTGAGGACACCTCCACTCTGAGGACACCACCACTCTGAGGACACCTTCACTCTGAGGACACCTCCACTCTGAGGACACCTCCACTCTGAGGACACCACCACTCTGAGGACACCTCCACTCTGAGGACACCTCCACTCTGAGGACACCTCCACTCTGAGGACACCACCACTCTGAGGACACCTTCACTCTGAGGACACCTCCACTCTGAGGACACCCTCCACTCTGAGGACAACTCCACTCTGAGGACACCTTCACTCTGAGGACACCTCCACTCTGAGGACACCTCCACTCTGAGGACACCACCACTCTGAGGACACCTCCACTCTGAGGACACCTCCACTCTGAGGACACCTCCACTCTGAGGACACCTCCACTCTGAGGACACTATGACTGAGGAGGACACTGAGCCTCTTTACTTTTTTATTAATTAAAACCTCACTTTGTGGCTTCAGCCATCAGTTTCCTCTCTTTCTCTCTCCCGGTTACTTTATAAGTTGTTACTTCCCTCTGTACCGCTGGTCCAGGAGGGAGCGTAACACACGGGGACTCGTCGGAGATCTTTGAGACAAGGAGTGGATCAGTCCTTCCTTCAGGCACTCGTTTATTATTTTGCCTTTTTTATTTTCGGGGTAATCCTGGGTGGGGATTGAGTGCCTGTTGGGGGCAGGCGTTTCAGGGTTTCGGCCGCTGATGTTGGCCTTTAAAGTCGCCTGGAGCCCGGCACGCTCCAGAAGGCAGGTAAGTTTGTGGTAGGCAGGATCTGAGGAAGTTTGTTATTTAGAAGACTTGCGTCAATGTCTGTGAAGCACTAGTGGAAGGTCGTTGTGTCACAGCATTTAAAAAAAGTGATTATATATACACATTAAAATCTTGTCTTTGGCCGTTTTGAGTATGGCTTTTGTTTTGGAGCAGTTTGTGTTGTGTGGGGGGTGGACCGAACATCCTTTAGGGGGGTCGTCGCCTCCTCTAGGGGGTCCGGGTGCATGCTTCCCCGGGAAGATTTTTTTTAAATATTGAAGTTAAAAGCATCAATCTGGTGCACTTTGAGAGCGACATGAACCCTACCTTAATAACACCTTAAAGCGGACAAAAGGCACTGGAGAACACTTAACACCCTTTAAGAAAGCAAACTAATGCCTTAACTCACTCAAATACAGTTGTTTACTTATTAGCTTAAAACTCATCAGGCACTAGGAAGGATCACTTCTTCTTCAGGGCAGGAAAGGCTACGCAGTACGCAGGCTAATGTCCCGCAGCGGCTGCCTCTCTGGTGGACTCCGGTACTGCACATTACTCCCATTTTTTTTCTTTCGTTTTTTTAAGTGAAACATCCGGGGCTTTTCAGAAAACATCCGGGGCTTGAGCCCAAGTAGCCACCCCCTAGCGCCGCCACTTTTTTCAGCGTGATTCCCATACTTGCCAACCCTCCGCGGGAGACTCCCGATTTCATTGCCCTCTCCCGGTTTCCTCCCGAGGTCATATTTCTCCCGATTTCTGACAAAATCAGATTTACTCAGGACTGTTTCCACTCGGACTTTAATACAGCTACACCATTGTTTGGTTTCCATGGTAGCGTGTCTCTTTAGCAGCACGCAACTGAAAGTCTGAGAGGGTGAGGAAGATAGTCACGCCTTTCCTGCCCACACATATGCTCCATCAAGGATGGTGCTACAGGCCGCCAGACAGTGCAACTACAACTACAATAAGCATGTTAATGTTAATCTAATACAGCTCCGGCGATCCCTGCTCCAGCGATCTCCCCCCCCACGGTGGTTTTGGAAATGCTCCCGATTTCTGAGGTCTCAAGGTTGGCAAGTATGGTGATTCCCCCCAGCGAGACTCGTATCATAGAGCTCCTGACACATACCAGTTTTCCAGTGTCAGATCCTAAGCTAGAAAGTCTTGTTTTTCGCCATGACCCTGGTCGTTTGATAGCAGACTGTGCAGCTTGGAAGCGAAAGCAGGCAGCAGATAGCAAGCACCCAGAAGGGGTGGGATTGATTAACACAGTGTGGACGGGCCACTGTTAACAAAGGGCCTGATGAGTGTTTGAAACCGTTCATCTACTGCCTTTGTCTCTCTGTCAGGAAAGCTGGAGGACCAGCGGCAGGTCAGACAGTGGTGGCTCACAGTCCTTCATCCTTGCCGGTGCCCTGCCCCTGAGTGCTGAGTCTGCCTGTGAGGCAAGTGCGGTGGTAAGGGGTATTGGAATGGGTTGTGTGCCCGCACCTCTTCACAAAATCCATGTCCAGTCTGAACTGGCTACTGGTTTCTTTCCGGGTGCTGTGCTCCCCACGTTTCCTGTCGACAGTGTGGATGTCATAATGAGTAATGATATAGCCGGAGGTAAAGTGTATCCTCAGAGTAATTATCCTCATCGTGGAGCTCACTGTAGAGCTCCTAACAGGCGTGCTCATTCTGTTTCTCTCCCAGGACCCGACACTAACAGATTGTGTTCCCTGCTCATTTAGTGGCAGAGTGTGTGGCTTGGAAGCAGCAGGCGGCAGCTTCCAAGCAGTCAATAGTCTGCTTGTGAACTGTATAATGTGTGTGTTTTGGTAACACTTGTTTGGTTTTATGGAGAGGGGTGTTACGTGCTGTAGTGTGTGTGTGTGTGTGTGTGTGTGTGTGTGTGTGTGTGTGTGTGTGTGTGTGTGTGTGATTGTCTCCCTCAGGTGCTCCCAATCCCCAATCAGGGCCTCCATAAAGGACCTGAGGAAGGCTGCAGTCGCTCTCTCCTCCTCCTTCGGCTGCATGGCGTCTGCGTGCTCTAACCTGTGTTTGGTGAATTGTTCACCGTTGTGTGTGTCACTGTTTCGTCACTTTCTTTTGGAAGAAAGTTGTTCTTATTTTACTTAAGTTTGTTTTGCAATTTGGCTGCTGAGCCTCTTTACTTTTTCATTCATTAAAACCTCACTTTGTGGCTTCAGCTTCCTCTCCCGGTTACTTGATATGTTGTTGCTTCCCTTCGTACCCGCTGGTCCAGGAGGGGGCGTAACACATGCCTACAACATATAATAATAATAATGCATTTTGTTTTTAGAGCGCTGTTCTTGAAACTCAAAGACACTTTCCAGGCTGAAAAAGCCTTAGAAACAACACACTTATAAACCACAACATTAATTACAGATGAAAAGCAGTTGTGAAGAGTTTTGATTTGAACATTATAAATCTGATGATAACAAAAAGACCCAGAACGAGTCAAACCTGCAGATTAAATATTAAACCCACATTTATATTGTATTGATTTTTTCCATACAGGTACACGAAACAACAAACAATCAGATTATTAATTGTTAGAAAAATATCACTGGTCACCGGCTTGGCCTCAAAATCAGGATCCATGTCTTTATTATCCTCTCAAGAGTGGAAGTAGTCGTCTCTCACACAGAGCTGCGTGGGACGAATAGTTCCCAGAGTCCTTGATATGCTGATATACAAGAGTCACAGTCAACAAGATGGAGGAATATAAAGCAGTGTTCTGACATTAGCTCAGATTAACTAAGGCCTGCGAAAGCAATACACATGACAGTCATGCCTCTCTCTCTCGGGGCGGTGTCATCGTGCCAATCTGAGGAACAGAGCTATCATGACTTCAACAGTGTCTCATGAGCGTCATCCATGTAGTCAGACATCCGGCTACGTAGGGCCTCTGCTATCACGAGCTGCTCTGATACAGAAGGAACATTCAGTATTTTCCCAACACTAAAGACTGGTCCAGTGAAAATGCAAAGTTAAATGAGGCAAAGGACAACACGCAGACAACATGACTGTATAATACACAGGGAAACAATTAAATCCAGCATTCTTCCAAAGATATTGAAGTGACTGAAAGGTGGGGTAGGTCATTCACTTCAGGAACACTTGTTATATTCCATGGAATGCTCTTAACGTCCCGATGGCAATGAACACATTAAATGCTTTGACAATAAATACATACCAACATGTCATCTGGAAGCCGT